TATTTTACAAAAAAAATTGGTTATTTAGTATTTTGACATTTTATTTATTTATTTATGATTTATATATTTAAAAAATATTTTTTTGCTTATTGAAAATAACACGTGATAATTTTTTATTTTATGTATTTATTCTGATTATTCAATAAAACAACGAATGAAAGTTTATCGATGTATTTTTACAGTTTTGTTCTTCTTCCAATAACACTTAGTCAATCCTCTTGTAAGTCCCAAAATTTTAGAATGATGATGGAATTTATTAAATTGTTCCGCAAATATAATTAAGAACTAGCTATACAGTATATTTCTCATTTATAAAATAAACATGTATGAATACATTAGATATGTATTTTTGATTTTTTAAAACAGAGCAGAACTTACGTGTATTCTTTTTTTTTAGTGCACCTTGTTTTGAAGTACATTATCTCACAATGATAAGGGACCTAAGACCTTGAAGTACTCCTTCTTTTGTTTCAGCAACCTCAAGAACTTAGGTTTCATGAGCAATCCCAACTTAAATAAAAATTTCTTAGCTATATCTTGACCACAATCATCCAATCCACTTGTCTTATGTTACATCGATCATTTGAAATTATTGTTGCGGTATTAGAATATTCGTTCAAGTTAACATATGCTTTTCCAATTTCTTGGAGAAGAGATATTCATTTTTCTTTGTGGATATGTATTTATCAAAAATTATTCTAATTGTCACAAAAACTCAAGAAATCAATGAAATCACTCGCCAAGATCCCAATTTAGTCGCAAACACTCCACACACATGCACGCACTTTTTCCTCTCCCTACAAATTATATGTTATTTTGGTCTCTTAACTTCATTTATATCCTCTTTTGCTTTGATTCTTAAAATTATAATCACACAAATGTCATGTTAAGAGCCATACTCTCAACAATCTTATGCTCCTTCCAACCATGATTAAGTGCATCGAGTTGTGGTATAGTTAATGTCTGAAGGTGAACCTTTAGTCACCATAACATTCGTAAATATAGATATGAAAATATAAGTTTCTTTTTTTATTTGCATACACATAGTTGACATCTCTCTTCAAGATATTCAAAATAACTAAAAAACAAATATTTTCATGATTATTATTTTTACTTTTAGCCTAAAACATAATATTTCTCTCTAATTTGTATGCGGTTTTGCCATGATCGATATTTACTTTCTTTCATTTAAGTATGTAAATACTTTTCCGAGATTCCAATGACTAAACTGTTATAGTACTCTTAATGTAAAACTTGTAACATGGTG